CAATTTCACTATTGGTGGGAGTTCTAACGACTGCTGTTGAAGGTATGGGGAATGTGTCTGGTACCCAGTTGGTCATAAGTGGATTAAATTTGCGATATGTAATTAATTTACCATATCGCCATGCAGATGATGCTAATATAGATTTATCAATGACGGTCTAGGAATTTAAATAATTGTAACCGCTCAGTCAATGATTCAATAGGACCATTTTGAGTATGCACATGCGGAACTCGATGTTCCACATCAATTCTAATTCACATACAATAGGCATTAAAAGATTGAGACATGAATTCTCTTGCCTTATGAGGTCATATTTTTCTTTGTTCAAAGATTCAGAAATTTGATCCCAAATGTATAATTTGAGCAAGGAGGTTTGAAAATGCAAAACCTCTAGCTGATAAAGGACGATTAACATGTGACCAACATTTTAATGCACCAATTAGCACCATAAAATATTAAAATGATTCACATTGAGGAGACAATTGGATCCATAAATATCTCCTTGAATTCTTTCCAAAAACGTGAGAGCTTCAACTAGAATTTCATGTAAAGCAGATAGCCTCACAATCAGTTTTACAAGAGAACAAGCAACACATGAAAAATCACTTGCGTGTGGAATCTTTACATTCTTTAATGAATGTACAAGTGAATTTCAATAATTTTGTGCATTATAGTGAAGCCTAGATGACCTATGTCACAAAATAAATATATTGTGTTCATTTGTCTTGTTATTAGATATAAACATTATCTCAAACGAATATGGTGGCATTCTTTCCACAAATGTGTTTATTTCCAATGGTGTTTATGGTTAGACATAAATATTCCTTTTGATGTTCAGACATGGTTTCAATATGATGATCATTCAGGCCCATATCATTAAAACTCAAAACATTTATTTGCAATTTACTGAACAATCACATAGATCGTTGCAAATCATTTAATGAATTTAACAAAAATTAAATTGTGGTATTGTATTAACATTAGCATCTATAAATTAAATGTTATATGAGAAAATTAATCTCTATTTTTCAAAATGATGTACGGTGTGGTATTGCATATCAAAAATATTGTTCAAAGTCACTTGAAGGTATTGTAATTAACTTCATATTTGTGAACAGATGATGATTTCAGGAATTCAAAGCAAATTTGTGCTAATAACGTGTTATGAAATGGAAGAAAAATTTACAGAAATTTAGGGGAAAACCATATTATGAATACTCTTAATAGAATTATTCTTGAATTGGCAATTACTACAATGTGAGTATAAGAGAGCGAGAAAACTCCTAATTGTAGGTGAAAGTGTAAGTTCAGTTAGATTAAGAGAGAATTGTGTTCAACACAATTCACCTTAAAATCATAGTTATGATTTTCTAATTAGTTTGAATACTTGAATATGCTAGTCAAAATCATAGTTATGATTTTCTAATTAGTTTGAATACTTGAATATGCTATGACTAGTTCATTTATATTCAACAAGTAGTTAATATTAAAAATTTGAATGACATTTAAAGCCTGTTTGGTGACTCCTTTTTTCGCCTTATTCGCTAACATTTTTACCAAATACACAACTTTTGCTTTCGCACTCTAGGTTGTGTAATTATCTAAACAAATAAGGTTGAGGTGTTTTCTGACCGAATTAGTTGAAATTACTATAGAAAATTATTGTAGTTATTTTTTCATGCAATTGTTTTTATTCTATTAATAAAATACTCCATGTATTTTAAATACGATAGTATAATTTTACTTCATTATTCAAGATTCAACGAATTTAATCAGAACTTCATTAATTTCAACAAAAACAATCGATTTAGTCAAGTTCAATGTTTGGAAAGAAATCTAGAGTAGTAGGTAGTACTCCATATTAAACTCGTAGTATTAATTAGACTTAACTATGGTTTTAGTTCTCACAAACATGACACTCTTTGTTTTAGGTTACTATAAAATATTAGGCTAAAGGGTCAAATTGGCCCTTGAACTAGCTTAAAGTGTTCAATTAGCCCCTTATATAGAAGGTTCTGCCCAGCCGTCTCCAATTGGGGAGGTTCCCGGAATAATTTTTTGATGAATTTTTTTTAGCATCTTCTTTATTAAGTATAGTTTACCCATATCAAATTTCAGCTAAAAATTAAATCGGGAAGACAGTCAAATGATTTTCCGAAATGTACTGCGTTGTTTAACTGTGCAGGTATCTTCAAAATGTACTCCCCAATCCAGACTTGCGTATTATTTCTACTGTGTTAGTTCTTGGATTTACAATAAGGGGGTAGATTAGTGGTTTGCTTTGCTTTAGGTGCTAGTTTTCTGAATGGAGACAATCAGGCTGATTCAGCCGCTAATAGCTTCTTTGCTCTCACAATTTCGGCGATTAATCTCGCTCTTTTTGGGGTGGACTATCTGTGTCTGATCATGACGTGAGGGGGCCGATGAGCTTTTGGTTGGATGGAGGGAGAATTAGGGTTTGGGATTTGATTGTTGATTTGGATCGTTTGATTTAATATAAGTATTTCCTTTCAAAAAAAATTGCACTATTCCTAATTATATGTGCTATAGACATACTCTCTCCGTCCCGTTATGATTGTCCCATTTTATCATTCCGGTCTGTCCCATTAAGATTGTTTCATACCTTATTTGGTAAAGTTTGTATGTTTCTAAATCATTCATACTTTATTCTTACTTTATCAATTCAATATCAACCATATAAACCCACTTTTATTAATAACCGTGTCACATTTTCTTGTCCCAAACATAGGGGGACGGAGGTAGTATTAATTAATTGTTTAATGCACACATAAAAAAATGAATTACGTAGTACTATAGCATTACCATGGGCCGAAAGATGGATTAGAGTGGCGGTGGCCTGGTTAGTTGGCCCTACTTGACATGGGCATGTGACGCGTCACGCCGAAAATTTTGTCGTTTTGGATACGAAAACTTCACTTTCGTGGCCACGTCACGCCTTAATTTCAGCTGCAATCCATCTTATCATCGTACGGATTTTTAATTTCTCACTACTCTGTCCTTTGGTTGGTGAAGAGTGTGACTAAGGATGTTTTCTTTTGGACTGAAATTTGCTGGTCTGGTCTGGTGTGATCTGTTTAAGTCTGGTCTGGTCTGGTCTGCTTAAGTCTGGTCTGGTCTGGTCTGGTCTGAACTGGTCTGGTCTGGTCTGGTAAATGTCTGGTCTCTGTGTATTTTATAACTACGGAAGTCTGGTCTGGTCTGGTCTGTTTAAGTCTGGTCTGGTCTGGTTAAGTCTGGTCTGGTCTGGTCTGGGACTGAAAACAGTTCAAAAGAAAACATCCTAATCCCACTGTAAATTATGCTCCGTATTATAAAGGCCAATGGAACTTATTTCATTTTTTAATCTAAAAAATAAAAATCCTTTATTTCAACTCATCGCACTTTCTGTTAATTAAAACTCAGAAATGTGCAAAGTAAGTGGGAACAAAAATGATTGTGATGTTTTTCCATTGCCGTGTTATTTTTTCGTTGGTTTTCTTTGAAAATTATACTTCCACGAAAAGTGGTTAAAAATGTCAAAGTTATAAACCATTAAACCCAAAATACATCAACTCAAGAAATTTAACAAATTGAATTCTGAAGCATCTATTTCAATGCAACAAAATCAATACTTCTTTTGTCATAACTTTTTTGTTTATATCAAGTAATTATCAACTAAACTTGCTACATAATACGGAGTATTGGGAGTATTACGTATTTGTATATTACATATATTAAATTCATACATACATTTTCAAATATATATAGTGCTTATCATTTAACTTTACTTTTATTTAAATGGTTGCCAATTTGTTATGCATCAACAATTGTCGGGTGGAAATGGTATAAAATGTACTAAAACTCAAACTCAATAACTTGTAAACGAATAATAATATTCTTTTGTGCAGTAAAATGTTTCTTCTTTGAGTTTATGTGAGCCTTACTTGATTAGATATAATTAGAATCAAATAGATCAAACTTAAATAATGCGACGCAGTAAAATACTTTGTTGGGCTTAAACCTGATGATATTTGAACAAAATAGGTAAATACTCATTTCGTTTACTTTGTCGAGCTTAAACCGGATGAGATTCGTACAAAACATGTCTAGAACTCTAGATCAACGGTTAAAAATTCAATCCAAATGAAAAAAACACATGAAACCATTCAAAAGACCAAATTAACAACTCCCTAGATAAATACAGAGTATATAAATCCTAAACCCAATTTTATAACCAACATCATGCATTAATATTACTCCGTAATATTAATATATACTCCTTAATATACACTACCCCGTGTTGGTAGTTCCTCTAGTCCAATTTTGATGTTTGAGTCAAATTTGACCGTTAATTACTCAAAGTTAATAATATTTTACCACACAAAAATAATTACAAGTGCTTCATTATAATGCAAATCATTAATTGTTAATTTATTATAGATTATATAAGTATATATTTATATCTATTTATGGTCAAACATCTACCTAAGAAGCCCATAAATCAAACGGAGTCTTTAAATAGCAATATACTTCGTAAACAGTATAACAATATAATAATCATAATAACATAATAATAACATGACACATTAATTTTAAGTGTGGTCCGCAATTAGTAAGCCCCATTGTTATTTGTTATGGTTGTTAAATTTTAAACGGTTACGTTCAATTTCTGAGGATAACTATTAACTAACCCATCAACGAATCTGTTAGATTTGCTGTAATAAAATCTGACATTTACTGATTCAGTTTTTTTACTACTTCATTTTACCCAATCTGTTTTCAATTTTACTAAAATCTCTAAATTGCACACGCGTGTGCGTGGTTTAGGAAAGCTCATTTATAGTTAACTTCCAGATAAATTAATTAGGACTCGGGAAGGGCATTTCTGGAAAGGAAAACTGATTTCATTACTCTAATCTTTTGTTTCGGAGGATATAAATTGTGATTGCCTCGTCCTCCCCTCCTTACATTCATCACTGCTCTTTATCCATTTCTGCAAGGAAAAGTTTTATCCGAAGAGACGTACAGATCAGTCGAAGAAGATGTTAGCAGTGTTCAGCAAGTCGGTGGCGAAGTGCCCGGAGGCCCTCCAGAGCCCCCGCGACGGACCCTCGGCGCCTACCTCCGCCCTGAAGGACGGTTTCCTGGCCAGCAAATTCGCGGCCACGAGCTCCGGACCCGTCACGATCAACCTCGGCGACTCCGGCGTCATGGCGTATTCTTCCGGCCGTCATAACCCACTCCTCCCCAGGTCCGTTTCTCCAATACCCATTATTTCCACAATCTCTGGTGATCTGATCGTGGATGAATCTTGACTTTCTTAGCCGTTGCAGATCTTGAATCTTGATTTTCCGATGAGCTTACGGTGTTTTCTGGCAGGTTATTTGCAGCTGTGGATGGGTTGTTCTGCCTGTTTCAAGGGCATATTGAGAATGTGGCTCATCTGAAACAGCAATATGGGCTGAACAAGACTTCAAACGAGGTGATCATTGTGATCGAGGCTTATCGGACATTGAGAGATAGGGGTCCTTACCCTGCTGATCAAGTCGTGAAGGATTTTCATGGAAAATTTTCTTTCGTTCTCTATGACAGCTCTTCAAAGGCTACCTTCATAGCAGCTGTACGTGTTCTTCAGTTTTTGTTTTTCACCTTTTCTTGTTATATTTTTACAATATCAGTTAATCTGTAATATTTTTTTCATATTTTTATTTGCGGCAATTGCTTTTGAAAATTTGAAATCCACTTATTGGGTAGTATCTATGTTGTTTCAGGATGAGGATGGAAGTGTGCCATTCTTTTGGGGAACTGATTCTGAAGGTGACCTGGTTCTCTCTGATGATGCTGACCTTGTGAAGCAAGGGTGTGGGAAATCTTTTGCACCATTTCCAAAGGGTATATTTCTTAACTTAGTCGCTGACTCACTGTGCTTTCACATCATTCTAGTTGGTCACCTATTTTATTCATTTACTACTGATTAGTTTTCACCTAAATGCCTGCTGATCTTTGGACCTGAAGATCTGTTTGGATGTGGGGATTGTGGGGTGTGGGAGGGCAGGTATTTGGATGGCCTAGGCTATATCTTGACACATATTTGGTATTCTAATGAATTATAACTAAATCATCTGAGGACCCTTAAGGTCTGTTTGGATGGAATGATTTGGAAGGGATGGTTTTGAAGGGATGGTTTTGTATCTGATGTATGTGCTCTGTATTTGTGATTTTATAAATACATAAATTTGATAGATTAACATCATATATGCTTGTATAACATTTCAATAACCATGTCTTTAGATGCATTGCTATTTATCAAGAAATAGACTAAATCATCCAAAAGCTTTTCCATCCAAAACAAACCCTTAGCATAAAGGCTATGTGCATACTTAATAGCTTCATGGGACTGAATGATCTGGTGATCTTCATGGTACATGACCTCTATGTTTATGTCACAATATAAATATTGTAATGAGACGTGTCTATCACAGCTATCTCAATGCATCTTCATTACTATATTTGTTTGCTGCATTAATTATTAGTATTGATGACCGAATTTTACAAAAATTTACCCCATTTTCACTGAATTTCATGATACAAAAGTGAAGAGGAGGATGGTGACTGGACTGATTATCGTTATGGAAATGGCAATCAAACATGTTATTTATGACTCATTAATTTGCAATTGCAATTGCAATTCTACAGTTTGCTTGTAATTGTTAACTCTTGAAGCCTAACTGTGAATATGGTTCTTACACTGGTACTTTAGTTTATGTTATTTAGAACGGAATACTAACATGTGATATATTGTTGCCATAACCAGGATGCTTTTTCACTTCTTCTGGAGGCTTAAGGAGCTATGTGCACCCGCTACATGAGCTGAAAGCTGTGCCGAGGGTGGACAGCTCAGGCGAGATGTGCGGTGCCACATTCAAAGTTGACTCAGAGTCCAAGAAAGAGAGTACTGGTCTTCCTAGAGTTGGGAGTGCTGCTAACTGGTCTGAGCATTACTAAATCAAAGCTCGCCTAAGCTCATCCCCCAAATACCCCTTTAGTTTCTCGCCTTTCTCCAATTGCTGTAAACTTGAGCTGAGTTTTATGCTAAAACTGTAGGAAGACGCTTCATGTGAACTCCATTTCTGACCTTTAATAAGTATTGTGAATTACATAGTCTCTTATCATCTAATGCATGCCACAAATTAAACAACTTTCCTTTCCTTTAATAAGAATTCTACAGGATCCCCTCCCCAATACTAGAGAGAGATTGTTTAGTCGTTAAGCATTATGCTACTAAAGCTGTGGGTAGTACATGACTGGGGGAGGATTAAACATAAAACAAAGCAAGGAAATAATAGGGATTAGATAAAGATATATAATTATGTGGTATGGTCATCCGTCTCAGTTGTTGCAAGTATTGTTATCAGTCCTTCACATCTGCAATTCCACCTGCTGTTATCTGAAAAACGTGATTTGCCTGTCAAGGAAAGTTATAGGGTCCGTTTGGACAACTGGGAGTGATGTGGACACAAAAAAGAATGAAAAGTTGGGAGGAAAATAAGAGATAGCTTCAATCTTAATAAAGTATTATTGATACGCTTGTTCCAACTCATTATATTTTTTTTATTATATCGAGTCTAGGAAACCTTTTTTGCAAAAACAACAGGATATCTAGATATAGGTAAAAGTTTTAAAAGTAAATTTACTATAATTTCCAAGGTAGTAAAGCCAAATATAGAAAGTGATTTTCTTTAAAAAAACATATGTTTTTAGAAACATTCAAACATGCCACAAGGAGAAAATAAAACAGAGAAATTATTTGAGTGGAGGGAGAAGGATATAGCTTCGCTCTCTGGAAGATTAGGGGCATCAAACACCTTGCAAACACGTTGTTCTCCTTTACCCTTCCTGAACATTAGCCTAATGGTTGCAGCATGTGCAAGCACGTGACCTCCTGCAGGCTTCTTTGGGTCTGATATGAACACACCTCCTCCTGGATCAGCAATCACTGCACTCACCCAATTCAGATACAAATATGTTTTAGCAGTCGGTCTCAATTAAATTATAAGCATGGTCAAATTTTGCTAGCCTAAATTGCTTTATACCTTGGTTGGTCATGTAAACAGCAACATTAAATTCCTCAGCAATTTTTATCAATCTGGAGAGCATCTGGGCCAACTTTTGCTGAAAGCGCAACAGCAAAATAAATCTGAAACTCGTAAGAGAAGAGCATAACAGATATAAATGCTAGTGGATCATGATAGGTCTTCTATGTTTAGTACCTGGCGATCTGCAAGTTCACCTCTTCCTGTGAAATCCACTCGGAACAATGCGATCACGGAGTCAACTATCTGCATTTTCATCACAAAAATATAAGGAAACAATAAAGAGCCATAATTAATAAACATTAATGATAATTTGAAGATGGGCATCACCAGAAGTCTAAAAGGCTCTTCAGCCATCTTTGCTGCCAGGCCAAGGAGTAAGTTATACTGATGCTCGTATGTATATGCACGGGCATATATGATCTTTGATGCGTAGTGGGAAAAATAGCATAGAGAGTTAATGAATAAGAAGAATTTAATATCAAAATAGGTTAGATAATTATGACATAAGCAGAAAAAGCGGTTTTACGTTGTCAAGAACAGCTCCAGGATCCATTCCAAATCTTTCAGCAATTGGCAAAATACGATCAGGCCGGCTACAAGTGCAACTTCATTAAGGAAACAGAAGATACAAAATGTGGCATCTTATTTTATATGCTGAAAGGGAATAAGGTAAAATAGGATACAAAGTTCCCTCTGTGTCGATATAAGCAACCTTTCCATTTCCTCCTTTCATGCTAGTAGGGAGCTGTAATGGGATTATGAAATGCATGAGTTCACTTCTGGGATCAATATTTTATCATGGGAACAAAGGCATAGAATATTCATGTGGACCAGAGCAAACCTGAGTAGAGACGCACAGTGTATGAGCAAGTTGTGTCTTCCCAGATCTGAACAAAATGCTCATTGAAAGAGATGATTATGAGTGTACTTGTTTAGCACAAATTTAGGGACATTTCCAAGTTTAAAGACAATAATAACCTGAATTCCCCAAATGCTTCAGTAATAGCAGAAGTTTCTATCCCTCCTAACCAAATTCAAAAGGTAAAAGACCTCAAAACGATATCAAGTGTAGTGTATTACTATATGTGAATGACATCTGGTACAAAATCATATAGAATTATAAAGTGTTACCTCCTAAAAGTTCATCCAGAGCCTGACTTCCAGTAGTAACACGAACTATTGACTTTCTCTACAAAAAACGAAGGGTGTTTTTAATGTCAACTCAGAACTAAGCTTTAAAAATCATACAGTCCTACTGAGGTGCAGTTTAATCATAATGAGAAGTAATTTGCAAGGTTTTACTTCAGCAAGATTCTAGGTCAGTGAATTATTATGGATTTAAGAGGAAATAAAAGGCTTACTTTAAGCAAAGCATCACTCCCAGTAATGTAACCAAAGTTCTGAAAAGAATAGCAAATGAGAAAATTCAGTACGTGCATAAATGGACTGCCACAGCATGATTCATTTTTTTTTTAAATTTCAAACATCATCTCATAATATACCTACCACTATCTTTTCTGCAGCTTCACATATCTTATCAACCTTTGCCTCAGAAAGACCTTTGATTCCTGTCAAGTTCTAGAAATGGAAAAAAAATTAAAATCAAACAATGGCCACTGCCAAGTTTCAGAAATAGAAACGGCCTTCTTACCTTTTTGGTGTGCATCATCAATCCATTACAGGTATAGATGCCCGCATCTTGAAGCTTCTTCACATCCCCCGCATTAATTCCATGATTAGTTACTGTTTAAAAGTTCAACAAACAGTTATAGCAATCTCAATAACGCAAAATCCTACATCTAGAAGTAGAGATAATATTTTCATATTGTGCATGACGTTTTATAGAGAGTGCTGGAGAATGAACTTGTAAACACATTACACAAGATTAAGTTGACATTCAACTGATAGAACTCAACCTCTTATATCATGAAAACAAAACCATGGAATTTGCTTTTACATCTCTCAGAGCTTAGGTCATTTCACCAGTTTATTGTGGGAAACCAGACATCCAATAAAAAATATAATAGAAGCATAGAGCTGAAGTTTCAATAAGTTCAACCACACCTCTGGAGACATTAGATATGATAGCAAAAATTAGAGATGAGGACATTTCAGCAGTTTATTGTGGGAATCTCAGGGCCAATTAAAAAACACTAGAAATATTTGAGCGTTTGCTTAAAAAACATTATCCAAAGATTGTGCAATTGTGTAAGCTAAACTTTAGACAAACTGCATATAGTGTAGACGTGTAGTAGCAAATCATTCGTATTATGAACGAGTTACATAATGTGCTTCACATAGTTCAGTAGCAAAAGTGCATTACTAGAGAGAGCTGAGTTTTTATATTTTGCTCGTCATGACTCATGATTCCTCCTAAACGTAAACAAAACAGAATTAGAACATGAATACACGAGCTCGATCACGTATTTGACTTGTCAGCATTCAACAGATGATTCTAGATCTAGTCCAATATTAAATACAAACAAAAACAGAAGGAAATCCATAACTCACGAAAAACGATCAAGATTTTGTATGGATAGTTCAAAAACAAAAACCAGAACGATCCAACTCCATAAAACACCACAAAAATACGGAGGAAGCGGGAACTAGATAGAAAACAGAGGAGGTATTCGAATAGCTATGAGTTACATTTATCAATAGCTTCGAACAAGTCGTCTTCATCGTCAATCTCTTCTCGTTCCACTAGCTGCAGCTGCTCTTCCGGTCTAATCTCAATAAAAAGTAGACAATAAACAAAAATCGTCAATAATCAACCGTCTATAGAATTGAAGCTGACGGAAATTTGAAATAGAATGTAATTCAGAAATGGAACATTACTTGAACGCTTGCATTTTCAGTTTATCGAGTTTAGAATGACGAGAGAGAACAGAGATTTGAAAATTTTAGTGAGAGAGAGCGAGTGTTTGCTGCTCAAAATTTTGCGCGGCTTTCTGGTGCGAACGAAAATGTGAAGAGGTTGCAGCATTTGGGCAATTTATATGATGTTCAACTGCTGTTGGCGGTGCGGTGATTGTGTGCGGTTGAGGTCTTGAGGACTAGCTGTGGCATGTTCAAAGTTCAAACTTCAAACTGAGATCGTATATAGTGGTATTTTTTTTTTTTTTGAATAAAGTGGTATTTTTTTTAGTGCACATTTTATAATTATTTCATTTCAAATTTATAATTCATGTTGGAAAAACTGACATGTGTATTACTTAAAAGTTTTTACAGAAAAACTCTATACGTTTTTCAGAGTAAGAATAACTGGACAACTAGTTATGTTTTTGGACAAATTAAAAGCATGACTAGTCATTATGTATGAATAACTAGTCATGTTTATAGAGTCCAACTAGTTATGTTTTTGAACAAATATGACTAGTCATTATGTATGAATAACTGTACAAGAGTCACGTACTATAATGTATTTCAGAGTGATTGGTGTATGATACTATGATGAGTCAAAAACTACTCACCGAATATGTCCCTTTTTGGAGAATTTTAAAGTAAGTCATATTTTTTGTCCTTTAATTTGATTTAGTAATATTCTTGAAAAAAATACTTCATATGGGAATGTATAACTTTTGTAGCATACACAAAACGTTACAATATGTTGCAAAAGTGCACAATACATCAAATGTGCATTTTTTAGCATGCTACATCGACATGTGCTACAATAGATCATAGATGTATTGTAGCATTTTTTGTAGCATTTCATCGTGCTACAGCAAGGCTCAGTTACTGTGGCATATTTTGTTAATGTATTTTAGTATTGTAGTCATGTTTTTTGTAGCATTTTCCACTAATCAATTGTAGCATGTTTATAAAATCAAAAATGATGTTTGTACCCACTCTTATATTATATAATAACCACTTTTATACTCAATCCATGTTTTTGAAAGTTTTTTTGTTTGTGAGTTCCGTTCACAGACAATATTTTGTTTGTGCAAAATTTGCATATACAAAATAACACATTTTTTGTTCGTGAACCAGGTTCACAGACAAAAAAAACCTTCACAAACATGAGTGAGTATAAGATGGGTATAAGGGTCAATAATGTACCAAGCATTGTTGAATAAAATATGCAGTAGCATTTTTACACACTTGGTGGAGCACACTGAACACTTTTTGTAGCATTTCCATGACTTTATTGTAGCATTTCCATGAATTAGAGGCAATTAGTATGAGTACTAATATATATTATGTTGTGCAGTTATATATACATATATGTGTGTTCGCACACTACACACGGTGCTATTAGATATTGACATAATAATTGTGAATTTGTAGTGCACCATTTCCCTTAACTAGTAGCTTCTGCAATATATTAAATAATACCAATATTACAAACAAAATATCATCACATTACCGATATTTAAGGTTTTACATTAAGGGCAAAAACCAAAAGTAATTCAAAGTTGAAAATAGGCCAAATAAATATGATATTCGATTAAGTACTTGGCGTGGACAACATAAACGTTACTTTTAACAATCTATGTGTTTTGTCAAAATTACGATAAGCAGTTTAACAAAAAAAATCACTTTGACAGATCCTACATAATGAAATGAAAAAAATAATGTTATCTACTTACAAAAGCTAAGAAAGAAGAGGTAATAATGAAAAAAATACCTCGTGATTAGCCGATGCAAGTATCGTTTGAGGGCCTAAGCTCAATCCTTGAATAGTACCATGTAGCTGTTTTAACACCAGTGACAATACATTTTCTGACAAAAGAGTTTATTCAACCTCAAATTCTCCAGCTATCTTAACTCACTCAATTGCAAGTTTTTCATCCATTTCCTTTTGCATTTCTTCCCTCGGAGATTCCAATGATTCATTGGACCTATTGATTGAGTTTTCATTTACCTTTGGAGAAATGTCTTTTTGGGTGACACCTCTTTCATATAGTTGAACACATCCATTGCATTCTTTAGGCTTAATTTTTGCAAATGCTTCTTTAGAAGACATTTCATCATTTTCTTGAGTTGATTCAATTTCTTTCATAGCTTGCTATTATGAATACAAAATCCAAAACAAGGCATAACATCGATCTTAGTATTAATCAACAATGAATGAAACACATATAATTGAATAAAAAGGGGAAAACTGTCAAATAGGTCCTCGAACTTTCATTAAAAAGTCAATTAAGTCCTTCTATAGGACACTCTGTCCGGTCGTCGCGATTTGGGGCAGTTCTCGGTGGAATTTTTTGATGAAATTTTTTGAGCATCTTATTCATCAAGTCTAGTTTACTCATACCAAATTTCAGCTAAAAATTCAATCGGGAGAGCATTCAAATTAATTCGAGAACGCAAATATGCGCAGTTATCTTCAAGAATTAATTTGAATGTGTTCCCGATTGAATATTAGTTGAAATTTGGTATGAGTAAACTAGACTTGGTGAATACGATGCTCAAAAAATTTCATAAAACAATTCCACCGGGAACTGCCCCGAATCGCGACGGCCGGACAGAACCTCCTATAGAAGGACTTAATTGACCTTTTTATGAAAGTTCGAGGACCTATTTGACTGTTTTCCCATAAAAAATATAAAACTTTGGTATGGATACATTTCTTAAAGAAGTAGTATCACTGTTAAGACCCGAGGTTCCATCCTAATAAGTCAACCTGATAGGAGGAGTAATCTGGACCTTAATATAACACTTAATTGCTTCACACGTTTCCGGTGTGGGAACTCAACACCCCTCCTCACGACCAGACACTTCGTCTGGATCGTGCCGTCATTCATTTTTTCATCGGTTCGTCCTCGTCATTTTTTTTTAATAATCATGTCATCATATATCATATGGTATCAGAGCCTCCGTCATAGGCGGCACCGGACAGTATTGTCATGGCCGGAGAACACATAGAGAACTCACTGGGAAAGATAGCCTACACGCCTCTGTATTTTCTGGGACCGCAAGACTGTGCAGAAGACAGACCTCAGACCGACTAGAAGGGCGGCAAGCGTGGCAGGGGCTTCGTCGTCGGCCGTGGTGGAGCGGCGTCCAGTGGGCGCGGTTGTGGAGGTATTCAAGCTCACGCAGCGACAATTGAAGGGAGTCGTTCCTCTAGGCGCTTGGATGAATCTGGCGACTCCACTGGGGAAAATCAAATCTCTGATGGGAGACAAACCCACGACCATTTGATTAGAAGTCAAATCTTTGGAGAAAATCAAATCTGGTTCTCATCCAAACAGTGGAAGGCACTGTTGGCAGCTTTTGGTAAAACTAATATAAGTAATATTCAATCTGACCGAATTTCGGGTGAGTTTGATGTTTGCTCGTGGATTATAGATACTGGAGCATCTAATCACGTGACAGGAAATATTTCTTGTTTAAGTAAAATCACTGAAATTAGCCCTTGCTCTGTTGGGTTACCAGAAGGACAAAAAGTGAAAGGCTACCAAACAGGGACTAGTTTGTTTATCAGATAATTTATGTCTAACTAATGTGTTATTTGTTCCAAAATTGCACTGTAGTCTCATTTCAGTCTCCCAAATTACTGAGGAAAATAATTGTTTTGTCCAATTCACATCTGACTTTTGTGCTATACAGGACCCGCACTCAAGGAGACTGATTGGGGCGGGTGAGAGGCGGAATGGACTTTACTATTTTCAGCGCATACCTGAGGCACATATTTTTGGAGTGCATAAAGAGACGGATAATTTGGATTTGTGGCATCGGCGGTTGGGACATCCGTCAGACACAATAATGTCATGGTTGCATGGTATGAGTGGGTCTAAACATGTTATTTCTCAACCTTGTGACATTTGTTTTCAAGCTAAACAGGTTAGAGATTCCTTTCCCCGAAGTATAAGTAATTCTACTCATAACTTTGAGCTTATACATTGTGATCTGTGGTGACCATATAACACTCTGCTTCTTGTGGTGCAAAATATTTTTTGACCATAGTCGATGATTTTTATAGAGCGGTTTGGGTGTATCTTCTTGTTGCTAAAACTGAGGTGTTTGCTATGTTTATGTCGTTTTGCGCTATGGTGGAACGCCAGTTCTCTCAGAAAATTAAAGTAGTACGTAGTGACCATGGTACTGAGTTTAATTGTCTTCGGGATTTTTTCCCGTGTATCTGGCATAATTTTCCATACTTCTTGTGTGGCTACTTTGCAACAAAATGGACGAGCTGAACGCAAGCACAGACACATCCTGAATGTTGCTCGTGCTCTACGCTTTCAGGCGCATCTTCCCATTCAGTTTTGGGGAGAATGTGTGCTCACTGCGGCACATCTCATAAATTGCTCCCTGTCAGCTGTTTGAAACACAAAACCCCTTATGAAATCTTGTTTGGCAAAGTTCCTCATTATAAGGCTCTCCGAGTCTTTGGTTGTTTGTGGTTTGCACATGAATTGCGTTCTACCCGAGATAAATTCCTCAGTCGTAGCCGAAAATGCATTTTTGTGGGATATCCCTTTGGAAAAAAGGGATAGCGTGTGTATGATCTAGACACCCATGAATATTTCGTCTCTCGAGATGTCAAATTTTTTGAGGATAAGTTTCCATTTGGTATTACCACTCTAGCTTTGGTTCACGATGACACCACCCTCGATGATCCTCCACCAATATGGGAATATGCTACGGTAGTGCAGCCTTCTCCTACAGTAGTTGGCTCACTTACCCCTGCTGCTCCAACACCTGAGAACATCACATTTGACAGCATACCACCTGACTCGAGTGGTACTCCACCACCTTAAGACTTGGGACGGGGTAAACGGGTCAAACTTCCATCAGTGAAATTGAGAGATTATGTGACTCACACCATTATTCATGACAGTCCATTCCCCGCCTCGCCTGCGCCGACAGTCTCTTCAGGTACTCCGTTTCCTATAGATCATTATGTTAATTGTTATAATTTTTCTGCTCGATATCGTGCATTCTTAGCAGTTGTGTCCCATCACACGGAGCCTGCTTCATTTCATGATGCGGTTAAAGACCCAGGATGGCGTGATGCCATGCGAGCAGAAATTCGCGCGCTTGAACAA